TCCCCTTCTTCCAGATAATGAGGAAGGCCACCAGCTTCAAATGGACGTCGGAGTGCCAACAAGCATTTGAGGAACTTAAGCAATATCTCGCCTCCCCACCCATCTTGTCCAAACCACAGCCCGGCGAGACCCTCTTCCTTTACTTGGGAGTAAGTACGTCGGCCATTAGCTCTGTACTTATCATGGAGGACGACGGGGTTCAAAAAGCAATATTCTACGTCAGCAAGACGCTGAGGGACGCCGAGCTGAGGTACTCCCCCATAGAAAAAACAGTGCTGGCCATCGTCCACACAGTGAAGAAATTGGGGCACTATTTCCAAGCTCACCCCGTCCACGTCCTCACGCATCAGTCGTTGGGCGTCCTCATGAGGAGCCCAACCAGCTCTCCAAGGATGATCAAATGGGCAATATTCTTGAGCCAGTACCAAATTGAAATCAAGCCGAGGCCATCCATCAAAGGCCAAGCCTTGGCTGACTTTGTCACCGAATGCACGGCAAGAGAGACGACCGTAACCACCACAGGAGCTGAACCAGACGAAGCCTGGACCCTCTACACAGATGGGTCCTCGGTCACCAAAGCTTGTGGAGGCGGCGTCGTCCTCATCTCCCCAGAAGGATTCAGAGCATACTACGCCATACGCTTCAACTTCAAGGTGTCCAACAATGAGGCCGAGTATGAAGCACTCCTCAGCGGGCTCAGACTAGCCGCTGGCCTCAAAGCACGCCACATCAGAATCAAATGCGATTCCAAACTTGTAGTGAACCAGATGGAGGGCTCCTACGAGGCCAAGGAGGGGAGAATGAAGCAATACAAGGAGGCCGCTGCGGAATTGCTCAAGGCGTTCGATACCTACGAGATCACTCAGATCCCAAGGGCGGAGAACGCCGAGGCCGACATACTCTCCAAACTCAGCTCCGACACCCCTGTGCACATCTCCAAGATAGCTAAGGTGGAAGAGTTGAGCATGTCAAGCATTCACGCTAGCCCTATACTCTCCATACAACACCAGCCGGAGGATTGGATCACTGACATCGCAACCTACATCACCTCCGGCACATTACCAGAAGACGAGGAAAGGGCCAAATTGGCCAAACTCAGGGCTCCAAGCTATGTCATTGAGGGTGACAAGCTTTACAAAAGATCATACAATGGCACCCTCCTCCGATGCTTACACCAGAATGAAGCCGAAATAGCCATGGAAGAAGTGCATTGCGGCGTCTGTTCATCGCATCAAAGGCCCTTCAGCATGTCCCGTCGCCTCGTCATCCAAGGCTACTTCTGGTCGACGATGGCGCGCGATTGTGCTGAGGTCGCCCGCAAATGCACCGCATGCCAACACTATCAAAGGGCACCCGGTCGACCCGCCGTCAACTACGCCCCAGTCAGCACAGCCATCCCATTCTCCAGATGGGGCATCGACCTTGTCGGACCACTTCCAAGAGCCGCAGGCAATAACAGATACATAATCATCGCCATCGACTACTTTACCAAATGGGTTGAAGCCGAGCCGCTTGCTAGCATTACCGGGGCGCGGTGCCGAAAGTTTGTCTACAAGAACATTCTCACCCGCTTCGGTGTGCCCCAGGAGATCATGTCAGACAACGGCACCCAATTTGAGGCCGAACCGTTCCAGAACCTCCTCCAAGAATGGGGCATTAAGCACCGCTTCTCCTCCGTTGCCTATCCTCAAGCCAACGGGCAAGTTGAGAACGCCAATAAAACCATCTTGGAGGGACTAAAGAAGAAGCTCGAAGAAGAAGGCGGGAGCTGGGCCGACGAGCTCCACAACGTCCTATGGTCCTATCGCACCACACCGAGAAGGGCCACTGGAGAGACACCATTCTCCTTTTGTTATGGCTTTGAAGCCAAGGCGCCCACAGAGGTGACACTTCCAAGTCGACGGGTCACACAATATGACCCCGATGCCAATGAGGAGACCATGAAGATCCACCTGCACCTCATCGACGAAAGGCGGGAGATGGCTTACCTCAGGGCGGAAAACTACAGACGTCAAGTCAAATCTTACTATGACGCCAAGGTCCGCTCCCGTGAATTCCAAGTGGGGGACTATGTCCTCCGACGAAGGGAAGCAAGCAAGCCAACTGAAGGAGGAAAGCTCGCCATCAAATACGAAGGGCCCTACATCATCAGTGCCGTCATTGGAGCCGGCACCTATAGACTAAAGAACCCCAATGGGTCTGATGTACCACGATTGTGGAATGTACACCATCTGGTGAAATTTTATCAATAATTCGAGAAGGTGTAGCGGGCAACGTCCCCCATCCCTCGGATTATTGATTGAACAAACACCCTCGGCCAAAGAGCCACTTATGAATAAAATACCATGTTCCAATTATATCTTCTTAAAAATCCAAAGACAAGTAGCTAAGGAGCACATCGGACGAAGCGGCGAAACGCCCAAACGAACCGATGCGATCCCCTAAAGCCATTGCACATGAACACACCTAAAAACATCGCATCGTCCAAAGCGGCGAAACGCCCAAACGGACCGATGCACCCCCAAGTCGTTTAAAACAAAACACGCAAAAACGACGCGTCGGATGAAGCGGCGAAACGCCCAAAATCACTGACGCGCCCCACAAGCCATTGCCCTAGACAACGCACTCAAGGCCGTTGTGAAACGCAAACGCGCCTAAAGCCGTGAAACACGCATCAAAATATCATATCGGCCAAGCGGTGAAATACCCAAAACGACCGACGATAGGAAGGACGAAGGACCTGCGAAATGGTCCGGCGTCTTCAAACGGAGAGCATACCGCGTCGTCCACGCAAAAATCGCAGGACGACAAGCCTGCATAAAGGCTGAGGATGCAAAAAACTCCCCCGTCAGTAAAATTTCTTAAGGACCATAAGCGCGGCAGACGTTAAACGCTAGCTAGCCCGGTCCCTCGTCACAAAAGACATAGGAAGGCCCAGATACCTAAGACACAAGAGGCCACTGACATGCTAAACGGAGGGCATACGTGCTCCTCGCCTTGGCATCCGCGAAATGCGAAACAGGGAAAAACCCTCACATGGACGAAGGGACAAAAGTCCACCTCCATAGCAAAAAAAAAAAAAGGAGGGAAGCCGACGGACCGCGCACTCGCCGGCCTCGAGCATAAAATAAAATCCCCACAAAAACCAAGCCTCAAAATTGGCTAAGTACATATCAGGATCACCATACAGGAATACGAAGTGCACGCTTCGGCCTCGACCACAACATCCTAAGGTTGAATCACTTCAATTTCAACTATACAAAACCACATTCTATCACTTGGAAGGTGAGTCGCATCATCTCCAATTAGCAAAACCCAAGTGACGAACCAAAGGAAAACACCTACATCAAGAAAGCTTGACACTTAGAAAATTTTCTAAGTCACATCACCGCAAAGACGATGCGCTACCACTGCGCGTCACTTCATCTTCAACACTTCGGGACAATTCCCTATACTTAAGAAAATCCTTGGAGGTTCTATTTATATACACAGAGCTCCAGCCGATGCGGACATACGCAAGGGACGTAGCGTCGCACCGGAGGAAAGATTGGGCACTTGACAAATTCTGAAACATATCCAAAAAGGTGCGCCTCGTCCCAAATCACAGTCAAGGGTGCGTGCTTCGTCCAAACATACTACACCATCAAACCGCATCGTCCCCGATGAGGGAGGCATATCTTTTGAAATATCAGGAGACCGCTTCATCTCAGACTACTGCGGTATGTTCAACACTTGGCCGAATTTACAAAAACTTAGAACTTGTAAAACAATAATTATAGAGACGATGCGACACCAACAGTTTACACATCAAAAGCTATGAAGACGAAGCGATATAAACATTCATACTTAGAACAAAAAGTTGTCATTAATTGATGATTTAAAATATCCAAGGAGGGCGCTTCGGCCGTTACATACATCAGGGCACTTCGGCCATTAAGACCACAACTACAAATACAAAAACAAACAAAGCACAAAAGATGCTAAGAGGCGTCCCCAGCCTGCCCTTGGCCACCTTCAACGGCTCCACTATCGGCATCGTCCTCAACATCCTCTGCGGTCTTTGACTTGGCTGAGCTCCGAAAGAGGTAGTCGTCACTCTCGATCCAGGGCCCGTCCTCCTCGTCTGAGCTCAAAATGGGGGGTTGCCTTTCGGCCAATGGGAGTTTCAATTCCTCCTCTGGGTCCTTCATCAGCCGGGGAAGGCCGATACCCCTGGGCTTCAAATTCTTCACACGACGACGGAGACGGCGATAGACCAACATTTGCATACGCCTCTGGCCGAGGTCGTACCAGACTTCAAACTCCTGTTTCAGGCAAGCTCGACCAGCATCCTCCTGCGACCACGCCTCAAAGCGCTCCGCCACGACATTATAGCTCCAATCGCGCCGGGCCTCGTCCTTCCACCATTCAGCCATGAAAAGTTCAATGGCTTTATCAGCAGCCGCAGTCGCATATAAAGTTTATATAAGTGTTTATATAAGGTTTTGTCCGACCGTCACCAATCGAATATCGAATAGGGGGTGTTTGGAACTGATTCTGCTTTTGCTTCTTTTTTAAAGCAGAAGCAGAATCAGAATCAGTTTTCAGAAGCTGGTACCCCTCAGCTTCTAAAAAAACTGATTCTGAGAGTAAATTAGAGCACCAAAAGTGTTTCTGGAATTTCACCCAAACACTCCAGCTTCTGCTCCCCGAAGGAGAATCAGTTTTGAGAATCAATCCAAACACCCTAAGTCTTTATATAAGAGCATCTCCAATGCTATAACGTGCACGGTGCACACGTGGCATGAGAGATGACCACATAAATATTAGTACATACATTCTTTCTCTCCTTATTTAAATGATTTTATATAGTTTTGGTAAGTTTTTCTCTACAATGTCAAGAAGACCGTCTAAATGTTGACATTGTTGTTGACATTGCAGGGAAAAACTTACCAAAATTGTATAAAATCATTTAAATAAGGAGAGAGATAATTTATTTGCTAATATTTATGTGGCTATGACTCATGCCACATTTGCTCTAAGGTTTTGTCCGGCCTTCACCAAGATAAGTCCTTATTTCTCTGGTAAATTTCCTTGCAGAGCTGGGTTTCGCACAAAGAGACCGTCTGACATGGAAACCATAGCCCTCTCGTACCTCCCGCCTTCCCCCGCCATAAGAGACCGTTTCGCTACTAAGACCTCCAACTCTGCACCGCGCAATTGTTCTGTAAAATGCTCCACGCATCCATCATTCGGTATTCTTCTACATTTTTACTTATTCTATTTTGTAATAATTTTGTGAAATTTGATCTGTTTGATATGCTGCGAGTTCTGCAGCCGGCCAATCCTTACAGTTCAAAGAAGCTGCACGAAATGGGAATTTGATTCCACTCTACAGGTCAATATTTTCCGATCACCTGACACCTGTGCTGGCATACAGGTGTTTGGTGAAGGAAGATGACAGGGAAGCTCCAAGCTTCTTGTTCGAGTCTGTCGAAAGGGGGAAAGTTACAAGTATTGTAAGCTGTCTCAGTCTTCTGTTTCCTGAAATTTGTGGGAAAGCAGCTGTTTTTTCTTTTCTAATGTAAAATTCATATCTTAGGGGCGGTACAGTGTTATTGGTGCTCAACCTACTATGGAGATTGTTGCAAGAGAAAACCTTGTGACAGTTATGGACCACCATGTGGGGAAAAAGACAGAGACATTCGAGGAGGATCCTATGGTCATTCCTAGGAGGATTATGGAGAAGTGGAAACCACAATGTCTTGATGAGCTTCCTGAGGCATTTACTGGTAGTGCATTATTTATTTGTTTCATAGGTTCAGTCATTATTTATTTCTCCAGAATACTTGGAGAGGAATCAAGGACATTATAATTTGATCAACTCATATATTCCCATGTCCATTATCTTTGAAAGTCTTGATTGCCGACCTTCCTATCGAGTTATATGCAGTTTGGTGCCTTCATTAATTGATAGCTTCTGTGTTTCGTTGTATTTAGTAATATCCTTTTGATTAGGTTCCTAATCATTTTGAACTTTCATCTTCTTTTATTGTCATTTATTTTAGGGAAAGTTCCCGAAATGGGACTAAAAAAGTTCGAAAATTCTAAAATAGGACTGTCATGTTTTTATTCCCAAAATAGGACTAATTACTGCCAAATTTGGAAAATACTGCCATGTTTGAAGTCTGGTACTGCCAAAACATGTCAGTAATTAGTCCTATTTTGGGAATAAAAACATGGAAGTCCTATTTTGGAATTTTCAAACTTTTTTAGTCCCATTTTGGGTAATATCTCTTTATTTTAATGTGTTGTTTTCATAACCATTTAATTTCCTGTATACTGAAATTCCATACACTGAAATATTTGGCATTAACACGAAGTGTTGACCTTAATATAAATGACTATTCGTTTTTCCTTTTATAAGGCACTCTTAATTTTTTGACAGTTATTGACTTGGCATTGTTTTCTTTTTTCAATATGCACATGATTTTGTTTTTTCTTATTTTGCAAAACATATATCTGATGTACATTGCATTTGTTTGAAACTGGAAATCTAGTTTAGCTTTATGCTATTGAGGTTACGAGACACACAACTTGTATTGAGAATCTCAGCATGATCAGTGCTTTGCCGTTATTGATGTCACGTTCTTTCTTTAACAGGTGGTTGGGTTGGCTACTTCTCCTATGATACAGTGCGTTTTGTTGAGAAGAAGAAATTGCCTTTCTCAAATGGACCATTAAATGACCGGTTCCTTCCCGATCTTCACATTGGCCTCTATGATGATGTTGTTGTATTTGATCATGTAGAAAAGGTTATATCATTTTTAAAGAAACTACTTTTTTCCAAATTTGTGCTTTATTTTTTATACTCCATAAAGCTTTGCCAGATTTCCTTATTTAGTCTTCCGGCCCCAAAAGCTTTGTCATTTCCTTTTAAAATTACAAATTTGGGGTTAACATTATTTCTCTCTTTTGTACACAAATTTCTTCAACACAATTTTTACTTTGTCATTCTAGATTTCTAGGTGCAAGTCAAACGTTCGCCAACTTTTATGGGACCGGGGGGATATATGCTATTCAATATAATCTTGCCAAAGTGCTACTTCCCTTGGTTTAGAATTACTTTAGCATGGAACTTTGCTTCTTATATTTCCTATATTCTAAATGCTGTTAGTTTTTTATTAGTATATTACATCTTAAGTATTGTGATAATTTAGTTTGTAGTAAATGATCATGCTTTAGTGAGTGAATTTCCCTCTAGTGCATTTGCATTGAAATACTGAGATGTTATCATTACATATCAGAAAGCGTGTGTCATACACTGGGTGCAATTAGATCGCTTTGCTTCAGTTGATGAAGCATTTAATGATGGCATGAGCCGTTTAGAAGCTTTGTTGTCGAGAGTGCTCAACATAGTACCGTAAGTTACAAATATTGCTTTGAAAAGGCATATTAGTACCTTTTACTTTTTTCAATGGTAATCGAAGTACTTGACAAAATATTGAATTTCAGTCCTAGATTAGCTCCAGGATCAATAAAATTACGTACAAACCTGTTTGGTTCAGCGCTGAAAATGTCAACCATGACTAGTGAAGATTACCAGGAAGCTGTTTTGAAAGCTAAAGAGCACATCCTGGCGGGGGATATTTTCCAGATAGTTCTCAGTCAAAGGTTTGAAAGGAGAACGTTTGCAGATCCATTTGAGATATATAGGGCATTGAGAGTTGTTAATCCAAGTCCATACATGAGTTATTTACAGGTTTGTATGTTCCTTTTTTGGTAAAGCAGATATTGTCTCTTAAGCCTATTCTAAAAAAGTTTACTGAAAAGTTATAGTTGTATTTTTCAGGCTAGGGGGTGTATACTTGTTGCTTCAAGTCCTGAGATTCTTACTAGAGTCAAGAAGGTAAACTGTCCAAACCACTTCTATAAAAATCAACAATTCTCATTTTCTTTGTGGGATTTACATAGAGATGCCCCCACTTTGATTCACGCTTTCAGCTACACATTTAATATCGTATTTCCTTTCCTCTATGGAAGCTCACTTGGTAACCTCACCATCATTGTGTAGGGAAAAATCACCAATCGGCCACTAGCAGGGACAATCAGGAGAGGGAAGACACCTAAAGAAGACTACATGCTGGAAAATCAACTTCTGCATGATAAAAAACAGTGTGCAGAGCACACCATGCTGGTTGACTTGGGAAGGAATGACGTGGGAAAGGTCCTGTTCTTTCTAAGTGTGTTTTATTTCATTCTATATCGAGAAACATCAGTTTTGTCATTTTCTTGATGCCAGTTCTAAGATTAATATATGTTTAATAATAATATCCATATAAAAAAGGGCAGCCCAGTGCACGAAGGCATCCCCACATGGCGAGGGTCCGGGGAAGAGTCCCACCACTAGGGTGTATAAGGGGCAAGCCTTCCCCTATCAAATTTCAACAAGAGGCTGCTCCCAAGTCTTGAAACTGTGGCCTCGGTCACACAGCAACATCTTACCGGTGTGCCAAGGCTCCCTTTTAATTAAATGTATCAAAAAAAGTCACACCTATATTTTCAATCATGCATCTAGATGCTCATAATAATATTCACTTTATGCTCATCTTTATATTTCATTTGAAAAGTTAAAACTGATTGATTTGAGAACTTCAAATTTCCATTGGAGTACAAACACATTTCATTTGATTGAGTTTTGCAAATTGTCAAAGATGATGGGTTGAAGGGAGGGGGCAGGGTTGATCCAAAATCCTAAAGGTTTTTTTAATATAGCTTCTCTACACTACTTATCGTATTGCAAGAGTGAGCATAGTTGATAGTTCCTTTTGCATCTTTAAAAAAGCTGTGTTACTTGAAGTAAAGTTAACACAGTTATCTCAAAATGGAGGTTAGTGAAGGAATTTGCATTAAACTCTATAATTACTGCATAGAAACAGTGTTGTTCAGCTCCATCCTGATTTTTTCACTAATCTAAGCTTCTCCCAACAGGTTTCTAAATTTGGGACAGTTGAAGTTGAGAAACTCATGAACATCGAACGATATTCCCATGTTATGCACATCAGTTCCACGGTTAGTTTTTTCTGTCTGATATTTGCATTCTTTGTTGGAATTTAGGCCTCTAAATCTGACATAAAATCAATAAGCTCGCGATGATTTAGATTTGTGGAACTGCTTACTACCTTTGCCTTATTGTTAATTTTTATGTCTCGCTGCCAATTTGCAGGTCACTGGAGAGCTTCTCGACCGCTTAAGTAGTTGGGATGCTTTGCGTGCAGCATTGCCTGTTGGAACAGTTAGTGGAGCCCCAAAGGTTTTACTATACCTGAATTTTAATAATTTTACATGTTCCTTGCTATTTCTTCTGATTCAATTATTTCATTTTTTGTAGTTGTACAAATATAATAGATCATCATAAATGTACAATTCAATTACAAGTATAACCTTTTAAAAACATTCGGTCCTCATACACAATGTGTCAAACCCAAACAATAAGAATATTTCGGGATAGAGGGAGTAAAAATAAATTTTACTTTCAAATGTTTAACTACTGTGTAAGGCTTAAACTAATATTCTAATAGAAACAATGAACTCCAATTGTGATAATGATTATTTGTATGTTTTACTATTATTTGAATAGAAAAACCATTGTTGCTGAAACCTCTAGACATTCATGTAACCTTCCTCTATTGTGGTTTGTGGTGAACAGGTAAAGGCCATGGAACTGATAGATGAGCTTGAAGTGACGAGGCGTGGGCCATACGGTGGTGGATTCGGAGGGATTTCTTTTTCAGGTGATATGGATATAGCCCTTGCTTTGAGAACAATCGTTTTTCCAACGGGAATGCAACAGGACCACATGTACTCCTACAATGATGTAAACCGACGGAGAGAGTGGGTCGCTCATATTCAAGCTGGAGCAGGCATAGTTGCTGATAGCGATCCCGGGGATGAGCAGAGAGAGTGCGAAAATAAGGCTGCAGCCCTTGCCCGTGCTATCGAACTAGCTGAGTCATCCTTTATCGAGTAAATGTTTGTTTCTGCTACATCAATCCTATCACGTGCACCAAAGAATGTTTGTTGACGCGATCATATTTCACAAATGAATAGTTAGACCTAGATTTTTTCTGAACACATTTTCACATTCAGACCACACTGTATTATTTATGAACTTCGCAGCACATATACATTCTTATAACGCAACATTTTAATAATACTAATAATGTAACACATAGCATCACTATACAAATTAAGGACCGGTTCTTGGGACTTAAGTTTATTGGTCGGGATTCGGGAAGGAACTGACTTGTTATATGAAATCGTGGATTTTATTATTACTACGTATTATCTAAGTTTGGTCTAGTCATTCTGTTAAAAGTACTCCATATCTAGTTACTTTAAATTTATTTTGGTCTAATTTGCTCGGAGGCTATAAAATAAACAAGTTTCAAATGATCAAAACTTCAATAAAAATAATAAAAAAAATCATTGTTTATATTATAAATCAAGGAGGCTGCTTGGTAGTGAATATTCCATGAAGTCGCAAAGTCAAATCAGAAGGAACTTTACTGTTCGGGTGCATTTAATTGAAGTTATGGGCTTATGACATTCCCAAGAGCATCCTCAATGCAATGCTTTCTTCAATGAATGCTTTCTAGTCTAAATAAAATGTGCCCAAATATCAAATAAATAAATGACTTTCTAATACACATCATAAAAAGTGAAGTGACTAGATATTGAACTATGAAACGAAGCCTCCAGCCCACAAAGTCTTGCTACCTAAATCTTACTACTTCGTATATTACGGAGTAATATAGATAGTATATGGAGTATTTAAAACAGGAGATAGCTATACGGAGTAGTAGTTTTCATTGACACGTCGCTGCTTACTCCATTCCTGCAATCCATCAAGGATTTTAAAGCTACCAATATGATTTTTGTGTTCTTCATAGTTCATAAGTTTTTTTTGGGTTATTACGAAAAAATCAAATCTCTATATGTACATAAAGTAATACTTCATATAACTGCCATGAGTGCAACCATGCAGGGATGTGTATTGTTGGTGTTGGGTGTATTCGGAAAACCGCCTGGACGGCCCAAACAGAAGGTATTTGGGTGCTTTGGAGAAACAAATTGAGCAAAACAAATGACCGACCACGATGCAAAATTTTACTTTCTCTTTAATTTTTCGTCAGCAACATGTGTTTTTAATGGTTTGGTCTAGTCAGCAAGTCTACGATGGTGTCTACACTTGAAAATAGGCCTGGACTCGGGCCGGGCGGCCCGACCCGGAACCGGCCCGGCCCGGCCACTGTAGCAACCGGCCCGGCCCGGTGGCCCGGTTCACCGGCGGTTCGGGTCGAACCGGCCCGGTGGTTCCCGGTTCCGGGCCCGGGCCTTCCATATGGTGAACCGGCCCGGCCGGTTCGGGCCCGGTCCGGGCCGGAAATAATTTTTTTTTTATTTTTTTTGAAATTTTTTTATGTTTTGGGTTAGATTAGGTATTTTGGTCCATTTGAGGTGGTTTGGGGTGGTTTGGGGTTGAGAAAGAGGGGTAGGGGATTAAATAAAGAAGCCAAAAAAAAAAAAAAAATAGGGCGGGTGGCCCGGCCCGGAACCGGCCCGGTCTGGCCCGGAACCGGCCCGGAACCGGCCACCCCCGGTTCAGGCTCGGGCCTCAATATTCTGAACCGAGGCCCGGCCGGGCCCAGGCCCGAGGCCCGAACCAGCCCGGTTCAGTCCACCCCTACTTGAAAAGTTCCCTCAACAGTGCTTACCAATTTTTTGCCAAGTCAGCGAAAATAAATTGAAGACTACGGCATTGGAGTAGAAAATACATATAGGATGTCTAATTTAATGAGGTGACATATATTTTTAAGACTAGACGTTCAAGCATCATGGTCATTGCGGATGCTCTAATGCACCTTGGATGTTGAGACCCCTCCTTTAAGAAATTGTTACAAGGAAGTATGCTTGAGGTCCTTGCGGATGCTCTAATGCACCTTGGATGTTGAGACCCCTTCTTTAAGAAATTGTTACAAGGAAGTTTAGATGTTCAATTCAGTATCTTATCATCTTATCTCGAATATAGGGAGTTGATCTGCCTCCCATTTGGAAGGCATATCCCATGTGAACCCATAAATCAAAGAATCAATAAATGCACATATGTGAGCATTTGTCCTAATGTGAATGACATCTTAGAATAGAAATGAGGATCATTGTACGCATTCATTCCAAGATTTAAGAATCATAAATGTCCAACACTGAAGAAAAGTGAAGAAAAATGCAGGACAGTTTTGTTAATATATAGAGTTTTATGAACCACCTCAAATGCGTATTTGAAAAATGTATACCACAGTAAACACAAAGTACATCATTTTGCATCCTGCACGTGTTCGCACGTTTACTCGTCAAGAAGGAAGTAATATGGTTGCGATGGCGGCAAAACAATAGTGGCAAAACAATAGCGGCAGCGGTAGCTGAGATGATTGCAGTGTGCTGCCACATCAGGTGCACACAAAACCCAAATGGCACAAAAACTAACGTCAGCAAAAATTAGAAGGAAAAAAATGCAGAGAAATACTCTGTAATTATTTCTCAGTTTTCACATGGGGTGGGAACATTTCCTGGGTTTCTCAATAGAAGTATAGACCAACAACTTGAATAAATATCCACCTACAAGATGCCATTCACTCTAAACTAAAATAGAGATTGGATCTCTATCTTTATCTATGCGATTAAAGATAGGAAATGTTAACATTCACATTGAAGAAGCTGCTAATGGTGCTTACGTGTTAATTTAGCAGACTGTAAACAAACTGAGTTGCCAAGCAATATTGGCAGTAAAATCACACCCACAAATGACTCAGTAAGAAAGGAATGATCAAGCATCACGTAACTCTTGAATGAGCTTCATTATCTCACCACGCATGGTTATCTCCACAGAAGCATCAACATGCTTTTGAACAAAAGAAACCCAATCAACATCTCTGTTATTATTCCTGGGAGATGAAAACCATTGACAGATAGCCCGGGCAATTGCAATGACATAAATTCCACAATCATATCCATTTTTCTGTTGAGGGGAGGGGACTTCAACAAATTCAGGTATTGCATCAGCAATAGGAGCAGGTGATGATGAGGCAGGTGGTTTCTTCTTCTCCTCATTTTTCATAGATTGTGGCGGTTGAGTGGCAACAGAAGGTCCCATAAACCCCTTGAGTGACTTATAGATATGCAAGGCATGCAGATGATTAGCTCCAGCAATGCTGTCAAGATGTGAGAAACTATTCTTAGTTCTGTCATAAACAACCAGGCTCCAGTGTGCTCCGGATTCACCCCCATCAAAATCTGTGCAATCGTTTACAGGGAAAAGGACCAGTTTTTTGGTGGACAGTTTTAATGGTTCCATAAAATCACCAAGGTTTTCATCCAGGGAATGGGCAAGGAAAAAGGACACAGAGGGATGAACAAGTAGGATGTCTTCTTCTTTTGGATCATACAAGGAAGACAGATAACTGAAATAGAAAGCTATTATTTGATCAGTTAGATAACAAGGCCCCTGAAGAGCATGTAAATCCACACCCCTCAATACAACGTCCTTGTAGCTTAAAACAATTTCTCGTTCATCCATAATACTGAGACGTCGCTGAGTGGGAGTCCAGAAAGTGCTTCGCGGGTGCAAATTGAAGTGCTTTTTGCCGGATTTTTCTGCAGAAGCATGGACTTTGCCGGGTGAATGATGGATTTCTCGGCAGAAGCCGGATTTTGCCGGTATATTCTAGGCTGGAACCAAACTTGTTTCAGATTTATAGAATTAGTTTTCACAAGCTCTTTGCTACAGGTGGCCTCCACGTCTGGCAGGCCTAGCCTAAAGCAGCAATTTGACAGGTCTGGACTTATTCATATGCTGCTACTTCATCTATGGCAAAATGATTTGCAAAGTTTACCTTTTCTAGTCAAAACAGTAACTTTATTTATTTATTTATTTCAAATATCATATATTTTTTCATTTTTTCAGTTGAATTTTGCGACTATAAAGAACTCTTATTGTAGTTCCAAAATATGTAACTCTTAATTATTAAAATTGATTTAACTATATCATCAATCAACCTTAAAACTGCAAATTGTAAACCAATTTGAGGAGGAAGTACTACACAAGGACTGATAGGTTGGCTCTAAAAGAACTAAATAAGGCATCCATTTCTAAATAATTTAAGGCTCCAGTTGGTGGTGTATGGTAAAATTGCTTCATCATCATCATCATTACCCCAGTGCCGCAAAGGCTCCCACCTACGGCGGGATAGGGGGGTCGGATGTACGCAGTCTTACCCCGTACTAAAACACAAAGAGACTATTTTTGGATGACCTATAGTGAAATTTGCGTAGAAAATTGCATGGATGGACTACTTGCTTCATAACAAAGAAGCGCTGACAGTTTAGCGAGTCATTTTGCTTTATTCCATCATATTCCCAAGCCAAAAAATAGTGAGTCTTTGGCTCCATTGCAAATGATGGAAAGAATGCTAAAATTGCTTAAAAGCCTGAAATTGATTTGATAGTTGAAATTTATGAACTGACATTGTTTGGTGATTATTTTGGCTAAAAGGGACATTTAAGTGTCCTCAGAAGTGTATGTAGTGGTAGTTCTGCATAACTAGGGCCGGACCTACCTATCTATGAAAGGGCCTAAGCCTTAGGGCTTAGGGGCAATGGTCTATCATGGGCTTATTCTAAAAAGAAGAAGACATTGTAAAACATACTAATCTTTAAATTATGATGCATAATAAAAATATTTTAGTATATACCGAAGTATATCATAAAGAAAAGAAGTACTTCAATAACTGGATATGTTGCATATTCAAACGCAAGTAGAACCAACCATAGCTATTAAATAAAAAACATTTGATCCGCCCAAATCAATTTATGTATCTTATACTCCTAAATCATCATCATCCCATATAGGATCATTTTCAACTGTTTTATTTTCAGCACCTAAATCATTATTCCAATGAGGGTTACCATTTTCCATTCAAATGATAAAATTGGTTGTTGACAGCTTTGTAGTGTATTATATTGGGATACACATTCAATGTAACCAATGTTAGTTTCTTTACACATTTTTTCCATTGACCTTGTTCAATGTAGGACTTAGGACAGCTATTTCTAATATTTTTTTTCTTTTTCTTCCATATAGGTTCAACCATGTTATCAAAACCTTAAAATTGGTTAAATTTACAAAAAATGAAATTAATATCAAATATGCACACTAGAAAAAGTAAACCGAGGAAAAAGTTTCACTCTAGCACAAAATAACAATTCAGCAAGATAACATATTTTGATAAAATAATAACTACAAACATATGAAATTGCAATTGAACAAAACTAATTTTAAAAGTGCAAGAAAAAACTGAGAAATTCACATTGAAGTTTTACCCTGGTGTTGGAGGCTGGGTGGCGGTTAATTGTGAATACGAAGTCAGGCAAAGCTGTAAATATGATTTTTTAAAAAGTTGATTGCTTTGTCTGAGTCGGCAAAACTACTGGAGAGCAGTGGAGGGTTGAGGTATTCTTAAAATTTTTAGGTTTCAACACTCTAATTCTCTATGTATTTTGCATTGAATCATTGAAGATAATAGATTGTTTGATTTCTTAATTTCTACGGCAATAACCCAATACGTTTAAAATTTTGAATGGATTAGAACATCAGAATTCAGAGGATTAGAACTTACACAGGATGACTATGGAAGAGAAGAGCTTCTCGACAATTATCGTTTTCCCTTTTAAGCTTGAGACGCCGTCTGTGGTAGATAATTGGGTGTGTTTGGTTACTTGGTATGTTAGCATAGCTGTTAGGAAATTTTCTTCGCACCTTCAATGGGGGTTAATTTTTAGTTAACATAGGTTAATTTTTGTTTGGAGGTTAACATATTGCATGTTTAATTTTTAGTTAGCCTCATTTGTTTGTTTTCTTGCAATAAGAATTTAGGTTATGATTTTTCAAATTGAAGAACCTCCGAAGTAAACTTTTTAGAGGTTAAGTTCTCGTTCAACATAAAATAAGCTAGAGTACTTCCATCCAAACAACATTTATTACGTTAAGCTAGGTTCACCTTATTTATTTTCAAACACTATTTTACGCATAAACCTAGGTCACTTAGGTTAACCTAATTTTTATTAAAACTTAGGTTTACTTTATTGGACTAGGTTTACTTAAGTGCACTTTATCCAAACAGAGCATAAGAGTCTATTTAGTGATTCTATTATTCGTCTTATTAGACTTATAAGTCAACTTTTTTAACAAAACACATAACTTTTGTTTTTGCGGATTGAATTATGTAATAATAAGAAAAAGTAAGGTTAGAGTTACTTTTCTAACTGTATTGGCTGAAGTTACTACATGACCTTATTTTCATGTAATTTTACTTTATTTTATTAATAATTAATATTTTAAATATAATTTTTCATAAATCCCAATACAACCATTTCAGTCATAACTTCATAAATTTCAACAGAATCAACCGATTCAACATATTTTAGTGTTACCAAACGGGCTCTAAAATCTCCTAACATTTTGAAATTGATATTTTCAATTCTTCTATTTTGATTTATCGTGAAAAGTGAATGACTAAAAGTGTCAACCAGAGTGATTTAAGTAAAATGTTTAGTAATTTAGATGTTTGAGAATAGTTGTTAAGACATTAGATGACTATTAAGAATTTAAGAGTACATATTTAGTTTAACTTTATTTCTTTTGTTTTTTAATAAGTCTTGGAAATAGTTTGAAAAATTATGTTTACTTTTATTTTATATAACTAGTACCACTATCATTTTAACCAATATACATTTACAGAATCACACATATACTTTTATTTTTAGTATTAATATTTTAAATATGACTATTTTTTTAAATGGCAGTCCATATAAAGTAGCAATAATATTCATACCGATAAAATAGTAAAAATATTCATAGTTACTTTATGCAGTAGAAAATGTCAAATACTAATGCTTACATCTCATTGCACGTGTCTTACTTTAATTTGACACAATTATTAACAAAGTGATTGAAAAAGTAAAATTTGTGATTGAGGTTTGAGACTTGAGGTATAATAAAGTGAAATGTTATAGATTTCATATTTTTTCAAAAATGAAATGTACCACTTATTTTGGAACAAGCTAAAAAAGAAAATGGGTTGAGAGATAGGGGTAATAAAATTATTAGTTTTTATAATACTTGGAGGGGTAAATGTCGAGAATTTTAAAGTCAATGACCGTTTCACTCACAAAATTGACTAATTTGTAACCCGGGCTTATTTTTTTACCAATTTTTCGTTGAAAAATTTCTCTTCACCAATTTGATAAACCATCCTTTTTTACCATTTGGTAATTTAACCGTTAGCGGTAACACGTCTATATCCATGCTGATTTTGTCTTTGTACAATTCCAAAATTTTATTTTTTCTAAGATCACTCGTCTATAGACACGAGCAAAATGAAGATGCATATAGAAAACGTGTACATCGAATTCCACCCGCACTTATGTCTAGGGATGGTCTCGGGCCTAGGCCCGGCCGGGCCTCGGGTCTGTTTTGTTGGGCCCGAGCCCGAACCGGTGGCCACCGGTTCCGGGCCGGACCGGTGGCCACCGGTTTCGGGCCGGACCGGGCCACCCGGTTAGTTTATTTTTTTTTTCTTTTCTTCCCCCCACCCCCTCACCCCCACCCCCCAAACCGGTCCTAAACATCAAGCCCAACTCAATAAAGCCCAAAAAAATGAAAAAAAAAAAACAGTTTTTGGCCCGGACCCGGGCCCGACCCGGCCGGGCCGGTTCGCCAAATACAAGGCCCAAGCCCGGACCCGCCCCCCCCACCGGGCCTAGGCCTGACCCGGACCCGAGAACCGGGCCGGTTCCGGGCCCGCACAGTGGCGGGCCGGGCAGCCCGAACCGGGTCCATGACTACTTCTGTCATTGTTTGTTTACCTTCTACAAGCATTCGGTCGAGCTTAAAGGCTAAAGCAGTGAGAGAGGTGTTGAGATAAAACTAAATTAAAAAGTTCATGAAGAGATGAAACTGTAAAAACTTTAAGATAAAATAAAATTTTACCTTACGAAAGTACGAAACTATATACGGCGTTTTAATTGACCACAAAAATGCTATTTGCGAGCCTCAAATGGATACCGAGAGCATTAATTTTAACAACATTACTTACAATTGTGTCATTGTACTCCGGATGAATATAAGTTAGACTTCAGCTTATTGTATTTAAGAAGATTTGTCAGTTTCCCAAATCACAAATCTCACCTTGTTTTTATTGTAAAACGAAAGATTGTAGTTTCTTTTTTACGTAAGAGGTTTTCTTTAAATATATTGAATTAAGTTTAAAAATTGACATAGTCGTTCAGAATTAGGCATGGACCCGGTTCGGGCCGCCCCGGCCCGAGACCGGCCCGGCCCGCCACTGTGCGGGCCCGGAACCGGCCCGGTTCTCGGGTCCGGGTCCGGGTCGGGCCTAGGCCCGGTGGGAGGGGCGGGTCCGGGCTCGGGCCTTGTATTTGGCGAACCAGCCCGGCCAGGTCGGGCCCGGGCCCGGGCCGAATTGATTTTTTTTTTTTATTTTTTTTTTCATTTTTTGGGGTTTCCCGGGTTGGGCTTGATGGTTAGGAGGGGTTTGGGGGTTTGGGGGGGTGGGGGGGGTTAGGAAAGCAAAAAAAAAAAAAAATTATGACCGAACCGGAGGCCCGGCCCGGCCCGGACCGGACCGGACCCGGACCGGACCCGGTGGCTACCCGGGCCGGTCCCGGGCCTTCCTTCCCAAAAAAAAAGCCCGGCCGGGCCCGGCCCGGAACCGGAACCGGCCCGGCCCGGGTCCATGACTATTCATAATCACTAAATTCTAAAAAATTCACATTTGTATAATTGTATACATTGTTTTCTTTTCAATCATTGTTCTTGTTGACTCATTTTTTCACATGTATTCTCTATTCATATATGTATCAACTTAATATTCTCTGCCTATTTTGCATAAAAATAAGTAATTCACATTTTATACAAAAGAAAGACCCAAAAAATATGAAGGGAGAAGGGACGAATGGACGATGGTCAAATGCTCAAATTAAACACCAAACTACCAATGTCCAATGCAAAGCCCAGATCACGTTTTTTGGGACCATACCTGGGGGTGTGAGATTGGAAATGAAGCTTCGGGAAGCATGGGGGGGTCCGAAAAGCAAAGACGATGAAGATATATGAGGTTTAGGTAAAACAGGGAGTGTCATACATGCGAAAATGTGAATTCAAGATGTGAGTCGTTAGCCATTTCATTCATTGGTCAGTAGGTGGCAGTCAAACAATTACATTAAAAAGTCAGTCATACAAGTTGCTGCCCCTATCATGATTGGACAAGATTGCAGATTCATACTGAACTTCAAGAGCAGAGACGGTAGCCAGAAACGATGGTCGAAAAGAAGGCTGGCATAAGTTTTATCTAATAGAAAAACAAGGAGAGATGAGACAGTGGGTCACTCATCACTTCACACCGTGAAAAGAGAGATGTTTTATCTCCAGTCTCATAATATGTAGCAAGCACCTAAATGAATGTCTTCCAGAATCATATATAATCACGTCTTCTTGCTCTCTCTCTCCTATCGCCGTTATCATCTTCCCTTGAACTTCGATCATTGTCATGTTTCCTTGATCTTGAATCATGATCATGCCTCCTTGCTTTTTCATGCATCCTACTATCACGACCTCGTGGTGACTTAGGTTCATCATAGTCATCTCCCCTGTTATCAGTCGCGTGTTCTTTGTGTCTTGATTGCATCTTCTCAAGACCTCTACTGTGCCTATCTACTGAACCCATCTTTTTACGCTCATAGTTCTGCACAACTATGTGTTTTCCCGCGTTTTCATGATTGCTCCATTTTGAACGTCTATCTTCCTCACGTCCCCGCGTTGAAGGCCTATCTTCTTGATGTCCCCATTTTGAAGTTCTATCTTCTTCATGGCCCCAGCCTGTGTTTGAAGCTCTCTGAATGCACATTAAAACATAGTTAGTAAGTTATAGAGGGAGAGGGAGAGGGAGAGAGAGATTTTATCCACTAAAAGGTGTAGAACAAGAAACTGATATTTAAATGTTAGGAGCAATATCAAGCAGATAACAATTACTTTTCTCTTTTAGCTAATATGCCACTTCACAATATAAGAAATCACTAATTAATCATTTTCTAAAACTTCGCTTCTCTATCCAAAAATGTTTCACAGTATTTTAAATTATTATAAGAGGCGTATTCTAGTCATATTATACTATTTTACCTTGACTTCCAACAAATTCATTGGTTTGAAGTACAAAAGATCTGAAATGAACACGACAGAGCTGAGAAAGAGATGGAAGGAAAAGAAGGGACCTTGATAGCAAACAAGGAATGTTGATTACAAAAGTTAGGGAGGCAATTGGGGTTCACGCTAGACTCGATGCTGGACATATATCGTTAAAACAAAGACTCTATACTTCATGGATCTTATTAATCAAAGATTGCTATTTTACTTATGACTTACCATCTTTACTTTAAGTTAAGACAATAAATAACACCCTCTTAAAGGAAAAAAGGAGTGGAATATTTGGATTAGGAACAGCAAAGCTATCAGGCAGAATAATCTGCTGGGCAAGTTATCTTGCTGGAATAAGTTGCAGTTGGTCCATGTTTGCAGGCATTCCAGGCAGACAAGTCAGGAAGAATGGTCGCAAAAAATATAATAATAAAAAGTTAAAACTTATTTAGATTCCGAAACTCAGCGAGAATTGGCGGCAAGTTGGCGTCAAGTCGTCAACATGAGCATGGA